TTCACATTTTGTTTTGTATTATCACCATGTCGCAATCTTTCACGTCAAAAGGGTATACGAACGAGTCAACTATCTTAATCACTTGCTTCATTTTGACAATTTAGACTACATCGACGTTTTTATGATAAACAACTAAATCATTAGTCGTTTCGTAGCAAGGCATCATTTCATTCAACAAGGTCGAGATGTCTATAGCTTTTAACAAACAGGTTCTTCGAACAATTCATCTATACGTAGTAAAGGGTAGCGATTCTCGATCGTCAGTTTGTCCATCATTCTTAACAGAGATGTGATAGTATTTTGACTGTAAGTCAGTCTTAGAGAATACAATGGATCCTCTAAGCTGATCAAATAAGTCATGATACAAAGTAAAGGATAACGAATTGTTTAACTGACAGTAGTTGGTATAGAGTTGATAAAGTCGTTTTATATATAATTTTATCCTCACATTTAACATATTTTTTATAATTTTTCTTCTTAATAAGAAGTAATTTTTCTATTAAAAGTCATATATCTATATTTTTGAGTAGTAAATTTGAATGGGCCAAGAAAAATAAAAATGTTTCATTTAAACAAGAAATTAGTAATATTTTCCTACTGGAATGGAATTGGAAGTTGGAGCAAGAAAGGAAGGTGTTTAGAAAACATGATTTTTGAAGCAAAGCATGAGTTTTGGAGCCGAATGCACGACAGGCGACCAGGCAGGCGGCCGCCTACAAGGCCGCCTGCCGGACATTGGCAAACGGCGAGAATTGGCTCTGGCGGTGAACTCAAGCGCAGGCGGTAAGAGTTGGCTCCGGCGGTGTAGCAGGCGGCCGCCTGCTTGACCGCCTGTCGACGTTCCCGAATCTTCGCCGTTCCAGAAGCTTCCCCTCATAGCGGTGGCGGGCTGACAGGTGGCCGCCTGTCTGCCCGCCTGTGGTTCTGCTCGGGTATAAGTACCCCACTCGGCCCATCCCTTCAACACATCTCCAAAAACTTCCACTTTTTCCTTTATTTGAGTTTGAGAGTCCTTCTAAAAGATTTTAGAGTGTTGATTTAAAGATTGTGAGCTTTGTATTCAGTTCTTCAAGATCTGTAAGCTTTCTTGTAAACTTTCTTTTATTAATAAAATTATCTTTTATACTTGGTTTGAATTGTGAATTAATGGATTTTAGTGGCTAAATTAATACGTAGGTATGAATTGAATAAAAGGTATGGGTTAATGATTAATAGTTTAAATTAAGTTAGTAACTTGATTAATTTGATTCAATTGTCTAAAATGAAATTCACTAATTAATAGATCTGGCCAATTTATTAATTAATCTTTGGAGATTATTTATTTAGCTTGTCTATGAGTTAAGAAAAATAATCTAGCCAACCATATTTAGACACATTAATGAGGCCTGAAAAATGGATAAGTTAATGATATAAAATCAAATTAATTAAGAAGCTAATTTAATCTAAAATTATTATCTTAGCCCATATACTTGTTCAATTCATACCTATTCTTAAAATAGTTGATTGGATTAATCATCTACTGCTATTGCTTTGAACTTGATTGCTCTAAGTCAATTGTTTTGAAGTAAAATATTAAGATAATTAACAAATACTTCCTTTTGCCAATCCTTGTGAAACGACCCGAGTTAGTCTCGGATAATTTTGTTAGAATAAGTGCCCTTCACTAGAGGGGGGGTGAATAGTGAGGCACGAGAATGTTTATAAATTTTCGCGGAATAAAAATCGCAGGGATAAAGTAAAGAGCGGAATAAAAAGGAGTAAAGGGAGCACACCAAGATTTACCCTGGTTCACCACAACTTGTGGCTAATCCAGCCTCCCGAGAGACTCTCTCGAGCTACACTACTTCCGTTAAGCTTACGGGTGCTTAACAAACCGTTACAACCTGAGAACTCGAGTCCCACGAGCCTCAATACACTTGCTCGGAGATACCGCACTCCAAGACTTCAACCCGAAGGAAAATACCTTTCCTTCGTACAACCAAGGGAAACAAGCTTCCCTAAACGTGTTTACAACACTAAGAAAACTCAAGAACAAGACTCTCTTTAAGAGTAGATGTTGAGTAAACTATATACGCTCAAGAACAACTCAAACTTCACAAATTGGCTCTAGAAAGCTATGGAAAATAATGTTGTTTGGATGCAATGATAATATGAATAAAGTGAA